GTGGGAAATGAGGTCAACATTTCACTTTCCCTAAAATTTGAGATAGGTCATTTGTAGGAAAACCAGGTATGATTTGAAGTAGTAAGTAGAATATGGGCAGATAACAAACAAAGTGCTTAGTATTTTAATCACTTGGAATTACTATGTCACGCTGGGCTCATGAACACAACCAAGATCCAATTGGAATTACAAAGCAAGGAAGGGGGAAAGATAGATTGTTTTTCTGGGCTATTTACATTTTAGTGGTCAGTGTGTTTCTAGCTGTAATCTTAGCATATTAGCTAAAAATGACTGGAAATCCATCACCAACATGGCCCTGGGAGAGTCAAGAAGCTATGTGAGACCAGAATCCAGGACATGTTTAGAGAAGGGGAAGAGCCAAATGGCAGAAATTATACTGGAATACCTTTCAGTGTATCCATAAAAAAAAGTGTCAGTGTTAGTGTTTATTACCCAATTATTGAAGTAGTTTTTTTTTTAAAGATTTATTTATTTGTACATACAGAACTGGGGTACAGGCCAGAGGCTCAGGGGTGGCGAGAGGCTTCACCAGAGACAGAGTGGGGAGCAGAACAGGCAGATGGACAAAGTACACTGCTGAGGGGAGCAGCGGGCGGGTCAGGAGAGGTTTGCCACGTCATGTGGTCACCTCCCGGGCAGGCGGGAATCGAACTCATGCGGAAGTGGCTTTATCTTCTCAGTGCAGTGATTTAACCCGCTGCGCCACCAGGGAGGGCCCTGAACTAGTTTTAAGAAATAAATTCCTGCATTTGGCTTCTGGCATCCCTCCCTGGTGGCGCAGTGGGTTAAAGTGCAGCACTATGATGCTTTCCACAGTCACTGCAGCATGAGTTCAATCCCTGATCAGGGAAGTGACCCACAAGGTGTGGCAGACCTCTCCTGACCTGCACTCTGCTCCCCTCAGCAGAGTATTGCAATTGATCTGCCTGTTCTGCTTTCCACTTTTCTCTGATGATTCCTCTCACACCTTGCACCTCTTGCCTGTACCCCAGTTCTTGTGTGCATAAATAAATGATTTTTTTTAAGGCATTTGGAGCCAAGGTAACTAATCTGGGATGGGAAAATTATGTTAGGTGGCTCTTCATTGTTCATTTAAAGAGGACCCAATGAAAAGCTGAGACTGGGGGAGGGGGGCGGGGAAGGAAAGGAATGAATCAGAGAAATGCATGAAATGCACTGATAAGTAATACATTGGAAATGAAAAAGAACAAAGAATCTAGGTTTCTGATATGATGATTGGAAATATGTTGAAGAAGATACCATTAACTAGCTGCATGGAAGAATTTCAAAGGAGGAGAAACTGAGATTTGGCAATGATGATTTCTGTACAGACATGTTGAATATGAGATATCTGGTTAAATATTCAGGCAGACCAGTCCAAAAAATAGTTGGAATTAAGATTTTAAGATACCAACTTGTAAGTTAATTTTAATGTATACTAAATGAATTATATTTACCACATGAGTATACATGGTGACCAAAGAGATTGTGTAGTTCAAGACAGAAAAATGGCAAAGCTGCCTGGGGAACAACACTTACAAGGTAAATGGAGTAAGAAGAGTTCACAGACTAACTGGAGAGAGCTGTGGGATGGGTGAAGAGAGTATATCACAAGTTTAGGAGAGCAGGGAGAATGTCAAGGGATGGGCATGTGTTTAGCGGTACAATTGAGAGGACAAAATCACTGAAAAGTGCTCCTCAGTGTAACCATCAAACCATGAAGTTTCAATAAGACAGGGAGCAAAAGCATCCTGCTCTGCCTGTAATGCTTGAAAACAGAATCGATGGGGAAATAGAGCTAGAGCTATGTATTTATTCAAAGGCTGCTGAAAAAAAGTTTCTGTCAAAAACTCTTGAGTATGAAGTAGAATAGGGTGACCACTGGAAGGGACAAAGGAAATATTTTTATATCTTTATTTTTGCTTTATTGGAATAGAGCATGGAGCTAGAGTGCCCAGTCTGAGCTCTACTTGCTACTCTAAGCAAAAGTACTACAAAGACACCAAAACAACATGTGGGTTTAACCTGTTACTGTCAGCAGATACAGAAGGTCATTGATTGAGAGCTGAGGACTAGAGGCTTGGCTACAGACACAGGTCAGTTGTGTGGTAAAGGGAAAGTTTTGCTGTGGGACATGTCTTTGCAGCTTTTTCATATTTAAAAATGTTCAACATCACTTGTAATAAGGGAAATGCAAATTAAAACCACAATGAGATACCATCTCACACCAGTGAGAATGGCACATATTAAAATAACTAGTAATAACAAACCTTGGTGAGGATGTGGAGAAAGAGGAACTGTCCGACACTGCTGGTGGGAATGTGGCTGCTACAACCAGGAAAGGTGTTTGGAGGTTTCTCAAACTGCTAAAAATGGAGCTTCCATTTGACCCAGCAATCCTACTCCTAGGTATCGATCCAAAGGACACAAAAACATTGCTTCAAAAGGACACCAGCACCCCCATGTTTATTGATGCTCTATTTACAATAGGGAAGACGTGAAAGCAACCCAAATGCCAAAAAATAGATGACTGGATTAAGATGTTGTACATATATATAGTGGAATATTACTCAGCTATTGAAAAAAAGATAAACTCATGCTTTTTTTCAGCAATATGGATGGAGCTAGAAGAGGTCATGCTCAGTGAAATAAGCCAGAGAGAGAAAGAAAAATACCAGATGGTTTCACATTTAGCAGGAGCATAAGGGATCAGGGAAAAAATAAAAGCAATTGTAATGAAGTAAAAACTAAAATCAACGGACAACTGTAAATCAGAGACAGGGGTGGAGAGGGGAACTGAATCAAAGCTGAGGAAGAGTGCACAGGACTATGGTGATGGCACATGGGTGAGTTGGTGGTGGGACGTCCACGGGGATTACAACTGAGATGAAAAAAATGTATAAAATGAAGAATGATGTAAAAAATATATGTATATATAAAAAAAGAAAGCTAAGAAATTGTGACATTGATATAATACTAGCAATTACATTATAAACTTAAAAAAAAGAAATTGAAGATTATTGGCTTCTCAGTTATTATATGTCTTTTAACCTTCTTGGGAGTAGGTTAGCTGGGAACAACAATCGAGAGTTAGTTTGCCGTGGGCAGGACTGATTTATTCACTAAAGTGAAATGAAAATGCTGGCAAATCATTTGGGATGGAAATTTGGACTAGGGGATGGATGAAGGTGGGCAGGGGAAGAAGAGGGAAACAGAAAGGGAAATGAGTAGGATGTTGAAACAATAATTATCTTGAACATATAATTGAATAAAACTTGATAATACTTTCAGGCAGTGGGTAGTAAAACTCACAAAATATTGGTTAAACTTTTGTATTCATAGTACATAGTTTATCATGTCCACTTAAGCTTTTCCAAGTTTTGTGCCTATTATTCCACAAAAGTGGCATTATTTGGAAATTTTAAGGAATGCTTAGAAATTTGTTTTGTCTCTTACTCCAGCGTTAGCATTAGGAACGGTGATCAACAGTTAACAATTTTTCCAGGACTTAAAACATGTGTCCCTGGCACAATGCCTGTGTTACATGAAGTATTTATTGCACTTTTATGAAGCCCTAAAGATGGCCTCTGTTACCCTCACTTTACACTTGAAGTAACTCCAGCTTGAAGATATGCTGCTCCCTACCCAATGTCATAGAACTTTCACAGGCTCGATCAGAGTATGAACCAAGTGGTATGAATCCAGTCCTCAGGGGCTTCACCCTCTGTGCTGTGATGGCATCCTGAACTCACTGGTTCATCCAGAGTCAGATTGGGATGGCCATCACCACACATATGAAAATCAGCTTTAGGAACACCCTCTGTCTTCTCTGACAGAGAACCCATCATTTTGTAGGGTTGTGTTGTGAAGGAAAGGTGAACTTTGTGGAAGTATAGTAGTAAGTTATCTTGATGAAAGTAAAGGGTCTTCCCATGGTTTTACTTTATTTGCTAGAAATTAAAATATTTCTAAACCTTTTCAAGCAAAAGTATAAAAATGTGCTCGCACACATTTTGGTTTCCTAGATATTTGTGGGCTGAAGTTACAGTAAAAAAGGTCTTGTTTGGCTTAAGGAAGGCTCTCAGGCAAATGACAGTGAATATAATGATTGCACTGGTTTTTAGTCCATCCATCTCCTCAATATTATGTATTTGCTATGCTTGTTGCTGGGATCCAGAAGTAAAGGCAGATAAAGTCCCTGATTTCATCTTTGGAATTTAAAAGCCAATGAAGAAGGAGGAAATTAAATAAATTCACCAGGGATATTTAATTACTGTAAATTAGATTTTGGAAACTAATATAATTGTAAATTGCATTGCTTCCCAGTTAACTGTAATAAGCTAAATGACTTTGCATGCTGGGAGTGGATTAATAATTAAGAATTTACCAGCTCTGTGTTCATAAGCGTAAAACCATAAACTCAAGGCTTTGAAATATCTGTAGAGATAAGTGTTAAAAGGCTGATTGATGTCATATACAGTATCAAGTCTCAATATTCCACTTTTTATGCATTATGTCACTATTACCTATACTATGAATGATTATGAAACATACAAATACTGATCACTGGATCTTTTAAAAAATACACGTGTCAACTTTTCTTATACCTTTTCTTTGTGCTGTTTTGGCCCTGTGGCCTCATAGAGGAGACATTCTAAGGACGGTTGTCAGAAAAGAAGCTCCAAGTCAGAAGGACCTCAAGTCCTTTTTTTTAGGTGACAGTTTTACTTTATAACCTGAATCAATAGTAATTATTCCCCATAAGCATGGGATGAAATTACACTTCTACTCAACTGTACAAGTCCTTGGAAAATCTGCAAGGTGAAACCTACACCTTGTCCAAGTCCTGAAAGATTGGCATTGTTTTTCCGTCTTTTTGTGGGCGGCACTGTGGAGCCATGGGGAGGGCGTTCAAATTCTATTTTTATTTCTGATATTTGTTTTTGTAAACTCATTCCTTTCCACTGCCATCCCCACAGGCTCAGTTTGAACTTCAGGCCTTTCACATCCGGGGTGAGCATGCAGAGATAACAGCGAGACTAGAAGAAACCGTTGAAAATCTCAAACATGAGCTAGAACACCGATGGCGAAGAGGATGTGAAGAGATGAGAGATGCGTGTGTTTCCACCCATGATGACTGCCTTCCAAAGGCCTACAGGAATGTGTGTATCCAGACAGACAGAGAGACTTTTCTCAAACCCTGTGAAGCTGAAGGCAAGATAACCAGGAGTAACCAAATCATGCCCAAAAAGCTGAATATCTCTTCCTTAAGCCAACTCTCTTCCCCAGATGACGGCAAAGACACACATGTACCATTTCCGTCTGTGGAAGGCACCTTATCCAGTCAGCAGAAGGCACCTTCTCCCCCTCCTGCACCACCCCTGCCAGCAGCCATCCCACCCCCTCCTCCTCCTCCCCTCCCACCTGGATCTGAACCTTTGCCACCAGCACCACCACCACCTCCACCTCCACCACCACCTCTACCTCCAAGTGCAGGGCCTCCCCCGCCTCCACCTCCTCCTCCTCCACCACTTCCTAACTGCCCTCTGCCACCCAACAGCGGGGGGCCTCCTCCTCCTCCAACACCCCCAGGACTTGTACCCCCACCTCCTCCTGGACTCTTCTTTGGAGCGGGCTCTTTGAGTCAGTGTCCTCGGAAACCAGCCATTGAGCCCAGTTGTCCCATGAAGCCTTTGTACTGGACTAGAATACAGATAAGTGATAAGAGGTGAGCTCAACTTCCCTGACCCATTCTCAACTTGTGAATTCATGGGATTCCTCACAAGTGACCATTTATTCTTACCTGTCCATTATGTGCATGTTGTAGAACTCTTTCTCTCATGTGGTAATGAATACCTCGGATAAGCAAGGTTGTCATGTTTTAGGGAGAATGTTTCTGCCAGTTCTTCATTGTAATCTCTATGGGCTGATCTTCAAAGAAATGCTGTATTTGGTGTTGGGACCTTCTCTGAGGCAAATGGTGCCCTTTGCAGGCTGGAGAAGAGTGCAGGTCTCAGGGCCTTCTCCAACATCTTTGCTACACGTGGGTAATTATAAAGATTTGCACTTGAATCTGGACTGTAGTTCCCTGAAGATTTTTAGAATATCTGCTTTATTTTAAGATGGTATCATTGCCCCCAGTGACCTGGATATTTGGCTTCTCTGTTATTATTTGTCTCTTAACCTTCTTGGGAGTAGGTTAGCTGGGAACAACAACCGAGAGTTAGTTTGCTGTGGGCAGGACTGATTTATTCACTACAGTGAAATGAAAGTGTTGGCAAATCATTTGGGATGGGAATTTTGACTAGGGGATGGATGAAGGTGGGCAGGGAAAGAAGAGGGAAACAAAAAGGACCAGATATAGATGAGTCATTAGTTCCTCAGATCAGAGGGAAATTCTAAAATACACACTGTTTGAATTCTGGGAATCAGATTGAATGCCCTCACACCTTTACATCCTGCTACCCTCAGAGAAACTGGTGGTGAGTGGCTAGCTAGGAAGCAACTTCCATTGAGGTAGCCTGTTAAGCTGGGTCTGGAAGCCAGGGAGGTATAGTTGTTCTGCAGCTTCCTTTTGTAAAGGTTTGCATCTGGTTTCTCCTGTTTCATTTCAGAACCTGTCAGGAAGACCATGAAAGTCAGGTTAGGTTGGTTCCTAACCATGCTTTAGGACTGAAATTCTTTTTTTTTTCTTTTTTTTTTTTTTGCAAAGAACAGCAAATACGGACCACATTTTTAAACTTCAATTTTTTCAGTCATTCCCCAAATCAAAACGGGGTGGTGAGCTTTTCAAATTCTGTGTTTTACTGGGGAAGCAGGATATTGAACAAAATAACATGCAATTCACAATTCTAAAACAACTGGCAATCAATATAAGAGGAGGTGGAAACACCTTAAAACTAAGCATATGGCAAAGTTCGTAAGTTGATTATGTACTTTGCATGGTCCCTCTCCAAATAAAGGTCAAGAGTTTATTCAGGGAAAACCATGATAGATTTTTAAAATGCTGATACTTTTATGATTCCCCAAAGGGATGGTTAATAATAGAAAAAAATCATGAACTGATTCTGAAATAACTCCTCCCATTAACTAAAGTACTATTATTCCCCTGACATTTCTAAGAAAGAACTTTCCAGAATATTCACTTGGAGTTGTGTTCCCTTCTTAGTGTTCTTGAGTTCATATGGGGCTATTTCAGGGTGATGGATCCCACCTGCCAGCCCTGAAGTAGCTTGTCCTCACTGGGGTGGACAGCTCTGCCGCTTCTCTCTGGCCACCTCCTCTTCCACCCCACAGCACTGAGTAACCAAGCCCTAGACCAAGCAGTTCCACAGTGCTGCTGGGAGCTCATTGCCCTTGCCCACTCCTTGGGGGGGGAAGGGGAGAGGGACAGGAGAGAATGTTTCTGTCCTTTTCCTCCATATGGAGTTGACCATTTTGAGAAAGAAAACAATTGAACACTCACACTCATAAATTAGCTAAACATAAATCTAAGGATTAAATTTTTTTCTTGTTTTATTTATTTTAATAATATAATAGTTTATTTTTACATCATTTTGTGCCTTTTTCCATCTCAGTTGTAATCCCCATGGGCTTCCCATAACCAAATCACCCATGAAGAATTAAGTTTTGAGCAAAATAAAGCAGAGAATGTATTAACTTTTCATATTTGTATGTAGGAAGGAGAAGGAAAGGGAAAAGGTGTAGGCAGGGGGAGGGGTGAAGATACTGGAACATACACATTAGGAAGAGACACATTTATAAGAGATATGACGTGCTTGTATAATGCAGTCAGAGGAGCCCTCCTGGATGGGCATATCAGCCCAGGCCCCAGATGGAGGCTGCCCCACTGAGGTGTGGGAAAACCACAGTAGTAAGTTGCTTCCGAGTGCACGCAAGTCAGTCTCTCAGTGTGGGGCCCTCAAAATGTTTTGGTGCCTCAGACTATGTCTTTTAAATTAAAATGGTCTGAAAATTCTGTGTAGCAGTCATTTACAGGCAGAAGTAAAATGATCTGAATGTGTTATTTTAAAGGACATTAAATGGTATTTTAATGTTGCTTTGTACAACCAAGGGTAAGCATGTTGTACATTATACACATGAAAAGTTTGGTGTTGATCTTGTGAGGGGCCAGGACTAAGGCACGCTCTATGTGTCCTGCCACTCATCCACCTAGATAGCTTTCCACTACTAACCTAAGCTAGTTTTTTTTATTTTTGCCATGTGTCATCTTTGATGTCTGGTTTTTTGGGGTTTTTTTTTTGTTTCTAGACTAAGAAAGAGGCTTTTAATTAAAGACAAAGATACCTAGCTTCATTGAGTTTCCTAAGAATCTTCATGTGTGTCCCTTCCTAGTTAATGTTCTAGTATCTTCACCCCTTCCCCCGCCTTCCTTTCACCCTTTTCCTCCCCCGTCCTTCTCTTACTTTGAGCTATATGCCTATATTAAGAGTCAGAAAAGAGTCGACCACTGGGCCCAGTGTGAGTGAGTCCTAGTTACTGTCCCAGCAAATATCAGTTGCCCCCAAGTCACCAAGAAATAATTTTTCAAAATTCTTTTATTTATTATTGGAGAGGCCTTTTCCCATGGATTTAATGTGGTAAGTAGTGATGAGGTGTGCTATTTGATTCCTGTCTACTGTAGAATATGAGTGAGTTGAAGTTCTAGTCAAATTGGCCTGCAGCATCAGAACTGGGGCCAAGCCATACAGGTGCAGGAGGCGAGAGGGTAGGTGATGGGTGTGAACAGTCAGACTTCTGCCTCACATCATCTCCCTCTAGAGACTGTCCCCTTAGTTTCCCAGAAACCAGCAGCCCTTAACAGGCCACCTGCTCCAAATTTCCCAGACTCTCTTCCATCAAGATTACCCCTTCCTGAGTGCGGCTGAGATGGTGGTTAATATTAATGGTGTTTGTGCTTTTTTTTTTTTTTTAAAGATTTATTTATTTATGCATACAAGAGCTAGGGTGTAGGCCAGAGGTGTGGGAGGGTAAGAGGATTCACCAGAGACAGAATCAGGATCAGAACAAGTGGGTCTACCTAAATATACTGCTGAAGGGAATAGCAAGTGAGATAGGAGAGGTCTGCCATGCCATGCAGGTCATGTCATTTCCCTGGCCAGGGATCAAACTCATGCAGCAGTGATGGCTGCAGGTTGATTCACAGTGCTGAGACTTAATCTCTTGCACCCTAAGGGAGGCCTGTGTTTGTGTTTCTATTTGACGTGAAGTGAATGGAGGAAGGGGGCCTGGGAACTACTCATTAGTAGTACATGGAAGTACTTCATTGAAATTGTTCTAGCCATGGGTAATTTGACAGATACTCATTTGATTATTATGCTTTATGACTTAGATAGGTCACAGATATTCTTAATGGCTCAACTATTATAAGTATAGTTTTTTTAAATGTGAATGTGGCCAGAGCTAAAATGTCATATTTAATGGAAAAAGCAGATCTCTACCAAAATGTGAAGGTACAGATCTAAAATGCCAATATTGCCAACTTTTTTGAATGTGAAAATCACCTCTTAGTATCAAATTTAGCACCAATATAGTAATAGTTCTTTTGGTTTTCATTGTTTGAGAAAATAGGTATTGAAAAAATAAATATTTTTAGATATAGTGGATATAATTATATTTGTGTTTGAAAAACAGTGCCGTGGGACAGTAAGAGCAAAGTGAGACAGTAGACATTTGGGAGAAGACGTGTGTTTTGCCTGAAGGGAGCCTGGGTAATAACCCTTCTGAGTCTGTTCTCAGAGATGATTCTTCTGTCCATGATTTTCCTATCTTCCCTTTCTTTGTTTCAAAACTAGGATGTTCCAGATATAAAAAACAAAGTAAATCATGGACTTCCCACACCTGCTTTAGATGAGATCCCTATGGGATACTGGTGTGATTGAGCTTTGGCATAGTTTTTCTTGTTAACGTTGTTTTTGGGGTGGGGTATTAAAATGAAGTATTTTTAAATGAAATACTTTTGGCCTCCTATTGTGGGTTCTGCAGCGAATTGACTTGGGAAACTCCTGAAAAACTTATTTAAAACTAGGGGGGAAAAAAGAGGCCCTCCCTGGTGGCGCAGCGGGTTAAATAAAGCACAGCACTAAGAAGCTAAAGCCACTTCCATTTTTTAAAAAAGATTTATTTATGTATACAGAATGGGGGTATAGGCCAGAGGGGCAGGGGCAGTGAGAGGATTCACTAGAGACAGAGTGGGGAGCAGAACAGGCTGACTGACCAAGTACACTGCTGAGGGGAGCAGCAGGCAGGTCAGGAGAGGTCTGCCGCGCCATGTGGTCACCTCAGGGCAGGCTGGGATCGAACTCATGCGGAAGTGGCTTTAGCTTCTTAGTGCTGTGCTTTAACCCGCTGCACCACAAGGAATGGCCATTTTGTATGTATTTTTTAATGAGCTCGAATTTTGTTTGGAGTTTATTGTATTCTATCGTCTTCTTATTTGATTCTTAAGTTTAACTTGTCATTTTCTCTTTTAAGCCAAAATGCTATACCTACCTTATGGGAGTCATTAGAAGAACCTGATATTCGGGATACTAGTGAATTTGAGTATTTATTCTCCAAAGACACAACTCAGCAGAAGAAAAAACCTCTGTCAGAGACCTTTGAGAAAAAAAACAAGGTCAAAAAGGTACTGAAATAGTATTTGTTATAATTACATATTTTAAAATTTAATCTAATTTTATTTTTTGTCATATGTGGAAACTCAGATGTGCTGCTGGTTTGTTTTCCCTGTTTTCAGAAAATGTTTTGGAAGGTTTTGATTTTAAGATGACAAAAAAGAGCCAATCATTTGAGAAATCTGTGCTGGCTAGTTAGGTCATCTCGTCTGAATTTTCAAGCTGTTTTCTTAATTTAATCTGGGCTTTTTTCAGCCATCAATTATCGAAAATTATAAAAAATTAGTGAAAGTATTCTGTAGACTCTATGGAAAATGTTTTACTTATTTATAAATTCCTTAACTTAACTAATATTTGGAGCTTATTCGTGCTAGGTTTTGTTTTAGGCTTACATTGTGCAATCTGCTAACCATTAGTCACATGAGTCTATTTAAATTGAAGTAATAACATTAGGCAAAATTAGATTCAATCCTTCATTTGCACTAATCACTCTTCAGGTTTGCTCTTCTGGCAAGTGGCTGCCGTAGAACACAGAAATAGAACATGGCCATCCGTATGGAAAACACTGTCTGAGCCTCTGTAATATGTTGAGAAAGCCCCAAGATCCTTGCCCTGTGGAACTTAACAATCAGCATTAAAAACAAACCCAAAAATTAAACCATGAAGTAGAGCAGGTTAAGTGGCATCCACTTTGGCAGGATGAGAGTGGGGGCTGCAGTTCCAAAAGGATCTCACTGAGAAAGGAGACTCCTAAGCAAAGACTCAAGGTTTGAAACGTGAGGACACCACTGAGAACGAGTTTGCGATTCTCAAGCAATCAGAGAGAGGTGCAGTTGAATCACATCTGTGCTCTTCACTTGCTGTGATCTAAGTCTTGGTACTTGTGTAGCTCTTAACTGTAACGTGAGATGACATCTGTTCAAAATCAAAGGTATCACATTGAGCACAGAGCCTGACACACACTTAGCCCTCAACAAATGAGAGCTGCTCTCATTTTGCGCCTATGGCTACCTCTCCCTTCAGTGCTTTGAAAATAGCGTACATGGTGTTGAGGAAAAAGTAAAATGTGCTCAACACTCCAGATCCCTGGATTTGGTATCTTGCAGTGTCATGGAAACAATTCTCCCATGGACACCAAGGGGCAACTTGATCTTGGCACTTGATTCTGCACGGATTTGCTATGTGAACTTAGGCTGGTGGTTTTCCGGCTGTAGGCTGTATTTTCCTTTTGCTGTAAGGCAACATGAACAGCGTCCAACTCTACCTAACCCAACAGGATGTTGAGAAACTCAAATCTAAGAGGACTTGAGGAAATGTTATAACAAGTGTATAATATTGAATGGCATTATCATCAATTCTTTATTATTGAATTAGAGTGGCGTTCACCCACTGGTTCATATCTCAAATTACGTTATGATTATGAAATCAGCTTTGCTTTACAGATGAAAAGATGGATACATCTGAATGCAGATTTTCTGTTAATCAGATTTCTGTCAAATAAGATTTTCTCAGTGACTTGAATTTTGAATCTAAATCATGATCAAAGTTTTTCACCTTTCAGCTTTATTGGAAGTAATTTGTGATCCTGGTAATAATTAAATTCCAGAACAAATCTTCTATTGGGACATAGTACATGAAACAATTTGAATTTTGTAATAAAGTAATTAGTTAGAGGCAAGACATCAACAGATATGCTGTAAAATGTGTTCCCCATGCAATTTGATTCATGTGGGATGGAGATAAGTTTGCTTTATAGGCTAGCTGGCTTTTAAAATATCATCTATGAAAACAAGATGACTCTACCTACCTATGTGAAAACAAAAGAAGAATTTCTGTCTTCCAAAATTAGCCTCAATTCCATTCTTTTCACAAAGCCTCCTCTGACTAACCAGGAGGGCCACTGAATGTTTTCTACTGCAGTTTTTCCGAGGAAACTGACTTTTGTTCTTGCTTTCTTCTCAGATCATGATTACCCCTTTTGTTTCTCTCTCTGGATGCTTGGTAACATGTTGTTTATACATAAAACTAATTATTTCTGTTTTGGTGAATGAGTATTTTTAAAACAAAGTATCTGTTTGTAAAACATCAAAGCTTTGGCCGTTTATTCTTATTTCTTATCTCATAATTGTTTGCCTATTCAACAAAGGATTTTTACTAAGGCAGCTAGTACTTGATGTGTTTATTTTGTTTGTCTGAGGGGGGAAATATCTTTCACTGAACTCTTTAATCTTGCTGAATGGTGAGTTGCCATTAACCCATAGAATCCGTGTACATGTGTGTAGCCTTTACTTGCTGTAAGTGGAGGTAAAAATGTAGGTTTACTGGACTTTACAGTCTTGTGTCTAAAGTTTTTAGTGAACTTTGTGGACTACCTTAGAGCTAAGATTTTAAGTTTTAAAGAAAACTGAGTTGAAGCAGTGCCAGAAATTTCCAAGCCTCTTCCTATGAGCCTTCTCTCTGTCTTATTGTCTACATTTCCAACATGAAGATGGATCCCATGGTCTCTTTTGAGAATCAGATTGTTTTTTCCCTTTGAAAATGAAAATGAAAGTGAATTTTAGAGATTGTGAGCCTTGGGGGAGATTCAGCAGTGGAGGCCAACTCTGCCAGCTTACCTACACAGTGGTTCCTGTATGGGATGTCTAATACAGCACCTGTTAAATGGATCTTTTTATGACTGAAGTGGATATATGTTTGAGATTTAAAATCTTGGCTTTAGTGGCTCTGCTAGCACTAAGATGTGTAATACAGACATACTCTTTACTTTCCTAGTTTGAACATTGGAAGTTTCAGGATCCTATTGACTGATGACTCAGGTAGTCATTTCTAGTTTCATCTTCTATAATGAAGTTCCCAGCACTGACCCTGGTTTCAAATAAGCAGATACATATGTTCTCAAACTGGACAGCGATCCTGTTCCATATTGTCATATAGGTTAAGGATCAGAGGGAACTTTCCTGACTATGTAATTCAGTGTCATCCTTTGACATAAGAAAAACTGAGAAAGACAAAGTGACCTCTGAGGGTTGTACGCTGTTAATTGGGAAGATATTGGTAATGACAGGCATTGGGGAGAATGGACAAGGACATGTGTCTTCATTGCCCTCTTATTTAAATAGTACAGCAACCCCACTACCTCAGTTGGTAGAGCGTGAGACTCCTAAATAGTATTGAGCAACAGAGGTGATGGCAATAACTTTTATTGAGGTGATTGATTTAAGGTAAGAGTAACTTTATTCAAATCATCAACAAAATACAGATACATTTGAGTGAATCCAAAATACTTCCTGTGAAATTTTCCAGTATTTTCTTTAGTCTTTTAGTAGGTACCCAAATCTTTTAATAAAACGTGATTTATATGTAATATCACCAAGAGGTATGCAGATTTGGAGCTACTCTCCTTGACTTCTAGCAAGTATTTCAACGATTAGCTTTAATCAAATAAATATGACATATCTGTAACCATCCTCATTTGTGACACCAGACTCTCTGTCAGAGTAGACAGAGCAGTCACCAAAATGAGATGAGAGGGCAAAGCATCAGCTTCTGTCGGTACCACCAAAGCTTAGTACTACCTCCTATTTTGTGCTCACTGATGACTGACAGACCAAATGATTTAATTCTCTGCACTGATTCACTCTCTATAGAATGGGAAATCATAACCACTCTCAAGGGTTGTCCTGAGTATAAAATGAAATTATGATTATGAAAGTACTTTTAAGTATTCTCTAAAACTCTGTACTAAACTGTTAGTTTGTAAACTCATGTGAAAGTTTCTTTGCAAAGAATTCTTGAATATTAGTTGTTGGGCATCTTAAAACAATGTCCATTCCTGAAACTATTCACAAATGGCAATCTCTAGATCATTCCGTTTATCCATAGATATTGAAGAGCCCCACCATCTCCTTTAATGACACATCTATTAGCTCATCTTACTAATTCATCACCATTGGTTTATGTAACCTTCTTGTACTATAAAATAAGACTTTCCAATATCAGTACGCCCCTATTTACATTGTCTTTCAGTTACATTTGTTCTTGGGAGAGGTAGGTCAACACCTTGACAGGGAGCCAGAAATGTGCAGTGTCCGTCAAGGAAGTAGCTACTAGATACACTTTTCCAGTTGCTTTCTAAACTTGCCCAACAGCTTTCTGAAAATCAGTTTGACCTGCCAATATTCCTTCTCACTTAAAATGCCATGATCTCATTTTGAATTGTAAATAATCTCTGTGCTTTTTCCCTCCTCTGTAGGATATATAAAAGCATTCCTCTCCCTTTGCATGTTTAGTAGATATTTCTTAAGAATTAATGAGATAATGGCTATTCCCTGAGCACTTTGGATGGGGGATGGGCAGGGAGGGGTTGTATTGGTTCAGCAGATGCTAGTCTGTTGAAACTTCCTGGAGCCAAATGTCTTCAGTTGAAATTTGGTCACTTTGGCGAGGATCTTAGCTGTACTCTCAAATCCCAGACTTGGTGTCTCAGTTTAGTGTGGAGATGCGAAGGGAGGAGGAAGAACTTTGTTTGGAAGGCTGAACATAAATTTATAGGGTTTTCATAACCTGTTGTCTTCCAAGTTTATATAATTTTAGCTTTTGTTTACAAAGATAATTTCTCTGGGCTGCTTTTGTGTAAGGTATATGTATTATTTTTTTCTCCCAAGAGTGGGGTTGAGTTTGTCCACCTCTTTTTATTTCTGTTTGAAAAACGAGCAGTGAGGTTAGGGGTTATCATCTATAGAAATGAGTGAAACAACTTGACTGTGTGTTGATTGCACCAATAACATGACCTGGAGGTCATTAATGCTAGATCCAGATCCCTTGAATAATATCTAGAATGATTAGGGTTTTCCTGTTCTTTGGCTTAAAGGCCCTGACTGACCAAATCTACCGAAAACAAACGGGAGCTCCTACTGCATGCACGACAGGCATCAGTTTACAAGAATTCTGCCTTGTAAATTTTTATTTAGAAAAAAAGATGACCTAAAAAGTTAAGTTGTACTTTTACTTT